GAAGGGGGGCTAGGGAAGGGTAAGTGGAAGGAGGTGAGGGAGGAATGGGGTACGCACCCCCGATAGGGAAGACTGGGCTGGCTCTGCGGGCTTCTGGGGGTGGAAGCTCTCCTGCAGCCCCCCAATTGCCCCCTCTCCCCAGATGGCAGCCTGCGGCAAGTGCAGCCGGGCTGATGGCTGAGTGGTGTGATGTGCCCAGTGTGGGTAGTCTGGGCAATCCAAGCCAGGACTGCTTTGCAAGCGGGGCACCCCTGAGAACTGTCTGTCCAGGGTGGGGATCGGGACCCTTTAAGCACAGCCCTCAGCTAGCCTGAGACAGCATCTCCACGCTCTAAGTCCTCCTCTGATGCCCTGCCGGCACTGCTTCCGGCCATCCTTAAGCCCGCTTCAGGGTCCACTTAATGTGGACGTGCTAGTTCGAATTAGCAAAACGCTAATTCGAACTAGTTTTTAGTTCTAGATGCGTTAGTTCGAATTAGCTTAGTTCGAATTAACTAATTCAAACTAAGTTAGTTCGAATTAGCGCTGTAGTGTAGACATACCCCAAGTGTCTTTACAAATATATATTTATGTATTTAAGCCCATTTCAGGCCATAAAACCCTTAAAAACAACCAGTACCTTTTCAGCAAGAGAAACTGCAATCTAAAAATCGGAGGAGAAAGGCACCCAACAAGGGTTACTTTGACGCTCCTCTGAAGGCCTCTACTTAGCATTTGGAACCATCTTAAGTCATGTCAGCCTTTCATATGCAAGAACAGACTCCATTCAGTCCTGTCCTTACCACTCACGGTAGGAGGTAAATTGCAATCACTTCTCCATAATTGCTTATTGTCTCAAAGGGGATATTGCATCTTGAAGACCAGTTTTTCCGAGAACCGTTTTTTGAAGAATGAGTTAAAAAATAAGATGCTACTTATGGACCCAATATTTTTGTGCCATCGTCTTAAAAGAAAAGCAGTTGAGACTAAAAAGCTAATCCAGATACGTACAAGATCCAACACTAGGGCTGGTCAGAAAATTTCAGTTTCTAAACAGGAAACAATTCTGCAATATTGTCTGCATAAAATCCCCTTTTTCCTCCCAGCTCTAACACAACCTTTAAAAACCCAACCTTGTGTCTGTTGTGACAGTGCAGAAGCCCATCCGACTCGTGTGTTCAAGTACACTAGCACTACATTTTAGAAACCCTGCTGGCAAATAGAACGGCCTTAAATTAACTTAGCAAAAGTGATACCTAGAAAATATTCAACATCAAGAGATCTTATAAAAACGTCAGACTACAAAAGCATTCTAAGGCACAGTGTTCTGGAAGAAGTGCTCTCCCATTGGCGCTGCTTTATACACGGCGTGTGAGAGTAGGTCCAAGGGTGCATGGTGTGAGTGTACACACTGCCCCTTCCCAAGTAGCACATGGAAGCGTCACACATAGGCTCCCAGTGCTGCATGGAATTCAGTCAGACACTGCACCAGCTGCTGGAACTTGGGTCTTTCTTCAGGGTCGAGGGCCCAGCAACAGGCCATCACAGCAAACCTGAAGACAACAAAGGGGACACATCAGAAGACGACATTCACAAGTACCAAGAACTTAGGTAAAGAGAGATCCAACCATCAGCAAGGGTTCTTTCTTCCCTTTGACCCTCAATTAGGGTTGTCAGGTGTCCGGTATTGACCCGGACAGTCTGGTATTTTCACCTCCTGTCTGGTAAAAAAAACCCAGAGAATACAGGACACCTAAAATGTCTGGTATTTTCTGATTTCCCTCCCACCCCCAAAGGCGAAAATACCAGACACCTGGCAACCCTAGCACACGCAGCAACCAGGCCCAGCCTCCGGGCACCCCCCGACAGGGGCCCTTCCTTGCCCCCCCTCTCAGGCCCCCTGAATGCCCCCGCTCCCCACTTAACTGGTTCCGCAGGGGAGCTCTCTCCCCAAACAGAGTAAGAAAACAAGATGGGCGCCGGCCAAAAAACCCCAAAGGCCTTAAAGGGGCTCTGCTTTCTTTTTTTTTTTTTTGGCTTAATAGCTCAGCAACTTGGAACTCCCTCTCCCCCTCCCCCCCCAACAGTGGTTTTTTATTTTTTGGGGGGGGGGTTCAGTATTTTTGGTTAAACCATCTGGCAACCCTACCCCCAAATATTTTAGCTTGTGACAGTTTTTTTTTTTTTTGGCTTAATAGCTCAGCAACTTGGAACTCCCTCTCCCCCTCCCCCCCCAACAGTGGTTTTTTATTTTTTGGGGGGGGGGTTCAGTATTTTTGGTTAAACCATCTGGCAACCCTACCCTCAATTATTTTAGCTTGTGACAGTACCAAAATTGTTTTTTCAGAACTAGTACATCCGGAGCGAGCAGCAGAGGCACTACTAACGGAGGTGCTGATCTGGTGCTCTAAAAACACTACAGATTTTCTGTAAGAGGGCGGAAAGAAAGGTAATATTGGGAAGATAGAAGGCAGCAGACTGAAACAAGGAAGAGAGTAGAAGAATACTGGTTTCCTTTATTTATTCCACTTATATTTCTGAGTTTGCTCTTTAAACGATGCAATTTTTTTTAATGGAGATTTAACACAACCAGGTCAGGCTGACCGACCTGAGATTTCCTCTCTCTGCAGAACTAACATTCTCTTTTTGGTCTGAACTGAAAAAAGATTTCTTGAAAAGTGGAACACTCTCTCTCCCTCCCTCCCCCTTCCAAGTTCACACTTACAGTTCATCAGGGCAGTTGATAGGCTGAGCTATTCTGTAACCATCCTTTAGATATGCAGCCATCTCAAAGGGGTCAATGTCCACATATGGCGTCTGCCCCAAAGTCATCAGCTCCCACAGTGTTACTCCAAATGCCCACTAGAAAAATAAGCAGCAAGTTAGCAGAACAGCAGAGTCTGGGACCTCTCGTTGGTTTCAGTTCCCTCACAGAATCAGTCATGAACACTAATTTTATAAGGAAGAGCTAGAAGCTTCATACATGTTAAATGCCATATTTTTTCTGCCTCAACAGGAAAATGTAAATCTCTCATTTACATGACCGAAGGCTGAAACAGGAACCACAAACTTAGAAACAAGAACTGGTTCAGCTTTCAACAGTAACAGATAGCTGTCAGCACCATGCTTTAAAAAACACTTGAATAAAAACAAAACGCACAGAAGGTACTAAAGGGCCGCTTTTCTGTAAAGCATTTGATTGGAAGATTTCACAATCTTTAAAAACACAAAGCTGAAGTAACAATGTACAGCAGAGTTTACTGTGTGAGACTAAGAATTACATTTACACAGAACTTTAGATGTTCACAACTGTGCAAACCAATCCCCACAACAGGTTCGGTGAGTGAGTTACTGACTTTGTCCTTTGTTCAGCAGATTTTCCACAGAACATGCCAGCCCTGGAGTGCCCCTTTCAGACCAAACATGACACTGCAGCCACTCCTTGCCTCAATTCTCTCCCCCGAGGTGGTCTCTTTCTCAGGGGTTCACACAGCTCAGCCCTCAGTGACTCCTGGGGCTGTTTCACTGCCACGTGGGCTTCAGGGTCAGACTGGCGCCTGAGCTCTGGGACCCTCCCCAATGACAGCATCTTAAAAGCAGGGCTCCCGCCTGAGCCTAGAAGTCACACAGCAATGACAAGCTCTGCAGCCTGAGCCCCGAGAGCCCAAAAACTGCCAACAGATGCAAACACGGGTTTGTAAAAAATCCAAAAGGGTCACTGATCAATGGACACTGGTGAGAGATTGGAAATAAGCAGCAAACTAACATTTAGGAAACTGGATACATGGATAATTCAAGGAAAATAACTTTCTAGAGACACACCAGTCTCGTTTCCCATTCGGTAACAGTATTTTTTCAGAAAATTCACATATAAGGGAAAAAGGCATCAGCTATGCTGGAAAGAAACCAGTGTAAAAACATGGCTCCTGCT